TGCATGAATCCAAAACTTATAATGGTTATTCTAACATAATAAGAAAGAGAAATCAGAGTTATAAGTTTACCTTGAATCACTTGTTTGATCTTCTTGTTCTTGGAGCTTTAGAGTAACAATTGTCACTCCTCTAATGGCTTACAAACACCAACTAGCAAAAGGATGATTTGAGAGAGTGGGGAAGGACTTAGAAATCGGCCAGGGTTTCCTTAGACACAAGGATGCCGATTTCCATGACCCCAAGGGTCTATTTATACTTGTAAGGCTCCTAGGGTTTTACCTTTAAACCCTAATTGGATAACTTAAGCCCTAAGCAATCCCAATCCCTTCATGATAACCCTTTGGACAGATTTTAGGTTTATCCTTAGCCATAAAATCGTCCACCACATTATCCATAAGGAATTATAGCCTAAAGTATAACTATCACACACTTGATAGTTTAAGCCCTTCTATTTAATTAATCTCTTTAAGTCACCAAATTAATTTCTAATTAATTTATGACTTATATTAATCAAATAATATTATTATACCATATAATATTTCAACTCTCATTATAAATCATCCTATCAAGTTTCTATGGTGAAGGCAACCCAAAAGGACCATGCTCAATCGGGTCAAATACTTGCTTAATATAGTTGCAGCCTTAGACACTATTCCAACAATAAAATCAGGGGCGTAGCTACACTATGTGAAGGTGGGTCCTAGGACCTACCTTTTTTCTTTTTTAATAGAATAATTCTATATAAAAAAGCATAAGGAACTGCTTTATTTTTGACAAAAGACCTATATTTTCATATTTTTTTCCATTTCATTTATATAAGGAACCACGTTGATTTTGGTTCTAGATTCGCCACTGAATAAAATCATCTTATAAATACATTTGAATGTCGGGGTGTCTCGCAAATGGTGTTATACCTAACCCAATGGTTGTAAGGATTGGACACTAGATTGTTGGTTGCATCTTTATTGGTTATGCACAAAACAATAATGTTTATTGTTATCATGTACACTAATAGAATCAACAAATGCATCATACTTTGAAAATGTGTTTCCATGTCTTGATAAATAAAAGACAAGTGCTCTAAAACAATTGGGCACAAAGAATCCTCTCATGAAGAAGAAATGGAGGAATAAATAGATCATGATGGAGTAAAAGGGGGACAAATGAGAAATCATTTGGAGATGATTTATGCATGTATATGGTTGAAAGAGAGCCTCAAACATTTAAAAAGTAATTCACTTCCTTTGACACATCTCAATGAAAAGCGGCAATTAAAAGTGAAATGGATTCCATCTTGCCAAATCACACATGAGAGCTAGGGGATATACATCTAGTATGTAAACGTCTAGGTTATAAATGGACTTTCAAGAGGAAAATGAAAGTAGATAAATCCAAAGAATATGAGAATCAGTTAGAACATAATGATCTATGATTTCAATAGAAATATGCACCAATTTCTTATTTGAAAATTTAAAATCACTTGATACTTATATACTCCAGGTAGCTATTTCCATTAAATCCAATAATATTGGTTGGAATTCATCAAATCAAGATAAAGGTTTTGGTGAATATTAAGATATTCAATATGAAGTTGAAATGACTGTGAGTGGAAATATGAGTATTCTAAATTTGGAATCACATCAGCGTTTCTTAGAAGATCATATTGGATTAAGTTGTAAAAACTAATAATGGTTCTATCATTTGAACTATGGTGGTTGAGAAATCACTACGATTTAGTGGATGTCCAAATGAGAAGTAAGATTTGATGACATATTTGAAATATATGTTTGGATTACAAATATAAGAATTTCTTAGTTAATTTCATTTGTATGCTCTTATAATTATATGTGGTTGTAACTTCTGGAAATTTGGAAGTATATCATTCTAATATGAACTAAAACTTCTAAATATAGATTTAGAAGTATAATTCTACATGGAACTACCAAGAAGTTATTATATGATTAAAGCAACAAAATGTATGAGTAGTCATTATATGATTAAAGAAAACCTTGGAACAACGGGTATCAAAAGTTTAACTATGTCATTCAACATCAATGGATTTGATGAAATAGATCCATATAAATGGTACTTTTAAAGTGTTATTCTATTTTATGATATATTAGGATCCTTGAGATAAGATGCCTAAAGAATTTTACATGTAAACGGTTAAAACAAGAAGTTGCATGTATAAAGTATTCATAATCACATCTGGCCAATGTAATTGTGAGTTCACAAATACATGTAGTATATATGTAACACCATGTTCTCGTTTTAATCATTTTAAAAGATTATATATATATATATATATATATATATATATATATATATATATATATATATATATATATATATATATATAATCATGCGTATTTTAATTGTAAAAAGGTATCTAAAAGATTATTGTTATTTATTAGCCAAGTAATTAAACAAATAAATAAGTGGGATTTATTAATTTCAATAAATGGAATATATTTTAGTCAAGGGTCCAAAGAGTAATTCTTGGAAACTTCTTTTGAAGAAGGAATGAACTCTAGAGGAAAACTTGTCATCATGCCAAACCTCAGGGACCATTATGCCATCTGCGAATTTATTGGTATCTTGTCCCCCTGATAGCATAGCGCGAGGGAAGGAATTGTCTCCCATTTCTTGCTGTACGCCTGCACCCGATCGAGCTGATATTTGAAGCAACCATTCTAGCGTGAAGAAAGGGAGTGACAGTGTGTGATGTATGTGTGTGTACTCAGGTACGACGCTGAGAGAGAAAGAGAAACAGGAGGTTAGAGGGCGAAGAGTGTTGAGCGGCCATGTTCACCGGATCCGTTCCTCAGGCAACACAGTGGGTGTAAGCATTTTTCTAATTCCCCTGTTAGCTAGCTGGAAAGAAAATGGATGCAAAATCCATCTATCCTTCTTCCTGTTCTAAATGGTTGACCCATATTTGTTTTGGGTTTGTGTTATCGGCAAGTTTTTTTTGGGTATCCAACTCCCTTGTACTCTGATGATCTTCCAGCTGATATCATGGCATGTAGATTGGTTGTGAAAGGATTTTAAAGGAGAGGAGGTCGAGATGGAGACGTGGGAGCTTCATCTCCTTTGGCGACACAGTGTTTGTGTGTATGTTTCCGTCAACCTTACGCTGTGGAATGAGACGATAAAGAAACAGTGATAGGGCAGGTAAATTTTCATGGAATAAGAGTATGGTTCAGAGATAGCATCAATGGCGGAGGTGAATGTCCGTTTTTGGCTGACTTCTATCGTCGGAAGTGGACTTTGGTTGTCGGAGAAGAAAACAGCGGAGGTGGGGGATGACGTCTGGAGCTTTGTTACCCAACAGCTAGGAATTTTTCTTGGGCCTGAATTGTGGGGAAATTTGCATTCCTTTTATTTTTGGGCTTTCTCCCTAATGGACTCAAACACTCAAAGATATATTTGAGTTTGGGCTATTTTTTCTCATGACTTTTTATATATATATATATATATATAATATATATATATATATATATATATATATATATATATATATATATATATATATATATATATATATATATATATATAGGCTTAGTTTGTTCTATTCAAAGTAATTATATTCAAAGTAATTATAGTGTAATTGTATACATAAATGTATACCAATCAATTTTACTTATTTTAAAAAAGTGATTAATATATATTGTTGAATTAAATATAATTGAAAAATATCATCTAATTTAATTATAAGGGTATTTTAGTCAATTAATATAGATTTAATAAAGGAAAATTGCATATTTTAAGGGATCATAGATTCTATTAATTTTAAAAATCCGATTTTACGAATTATAATTCTTTTAATTCGGACATTCTGACAGAATGTGTTTTTGAGTATATATTTAAAAATAAAAATATTCTTGAACCTATTTATTGATCATGACTTTAAAAACTTCTCATAGAATAACAAATTCTTGAACAATTAATTGAAGAATAAAACAAAAAATACATTATTTCTTATAGAATACGGGTACCAATTGTTAAGAATTACATTTATTGTTAAAGAATAAAACTAAAAAAAACTTTCAAAACCGGAAAGAAAACATCAAAATCTAACAACGACACTACTACATTCTAAAAGAATAATGTTGCTTAAAATCACTTTCAAATTTGCGGTTCGTTCTTCAAGCATCAAATTCTGTGAAAACAAAACCAAATTATAGTTTATATTCCAACAGAATTGGAATTCATGATTCCATTCCAACAGAATTGGAATGCATGGTTCCTTTTATCTTTCTTCATGTCAATCTCAAGAATTGTACCACACGTTTATGTTTTCTTTCCCTTAGATCACAATGTACTCCATATCTATCAAAATTCACAACTATACAATAAGATCATTAAGAGAATAGATTTTTTTATCTATTTAACTAGTAAAACCCAATCAAAAGAAACATACCCAATTCCGGTTTCCTGCCAAAGAACACCACTAGAGATGGGTAAACTTGGTTCTTGCTTCTATATTTATGACATAGTCGATCTTTCACCTCGTAAAACTGCAGTTCATATTCAAGTTTTATGAAACATATATGTAACAAAACAAACACATATTCATAAATTTTATGAAATAAATGTGTAAACAACAAAAAATAAAAAGTTCATATTCTTTAATAAGTGATTTAACATTTTGAGCCCTAAAACTGTATAGCATCCTAAGCAATTTAACAATTTCCAAGAAGAATTAGCAATTCAAATAATTGAACAAAGCAACACCAAACCGTGACATATTTTAAGAGACAATAACATATATGCAATACCCCATGGACAAAAATACCCTTCCAGCAATACATTGAATGCAGAAACCAGAAAGCAAGTCCTAAAAAATACATTGAATGAGATACAAAATAATAAAATGATAAAAACTCAAACCTGAATGCAGAAAGCAAGTCCAAGGAAATATTCTGTCAACACATCGAAGCCGAAGATTATCTCCCTCTGTTCCTAATTCCTGAGTGCAAAATTGTCATCCCCAAACTCAGAAGCCGGAAGAATTACCTGAAGGTAGGTTAACTAGAGACTCATTGGAGCTGAGTTGTCGCCGGTCAAAGTCAATATCATCTCCACCTTCTTCACCGTAATCTTTCTTTAACAACGGTTCGCCCATCGGTGGTGATTTGAAATTTAATTTCCTCTTCTTCCATGGTAAGATGATGCGTTTCAGAATCTGAGTTATACTTTGTTCAGAACTCGAAGCGGTCAGGTCATTTTTCGATGAGCAACGCTCACTCTCATTGGAATCATCGCCTGATTCAGAGTCAACAAGATTGGAATTGGAATTGGAATAGTTACCTCCGTCACTCCTACTTTCGCTAATTTGATTATCATCCTCGATGGAGGCTTTTTTGCATCTTTTAATCGAGACGTACTCCTTGAAGATCTTAACTTTTCTTAATACCGCTTTAAGTGCAGAATGCTCGTCTTTATCCCCCGATGAAGTTTACGATGATTGATTTTGAGTTTAAGCAGCTCTAGGAAAAGCGCCGATACCCTGTAGTATGCTGAGGCTTTATCTGGTGGGGGATTGAGGAAGACACGCATATTTATTTAGTCAATAGCATGATTATAGGGATTATTTTTGGAATTTACTAAACAAATTACTAAATTACCCTTATTTATTTATTAGTTATTTAATTTTTTATTTAGTTTTGATTGGCCTACATTTATGCATACGATAACACAATACTTAGTTTAAACAAATGAACCTAGCTCTCTCTCTCTCTCTCTCTCTCTATATATATATATATATATATATATATATATATATATATATATATATATATATATATATAATGGATAATTCGTTTGGGCCTCATGAATTGTATTTTTGGGTCTACCCATTTATAAATTAATTCTTGAGTCCTTGAATTTATTAAATGGGCCACTCAATAGTGTGGGTGATAATCGAATTTAGTGGGTCGTAACTTTTAATTCGTTTGTATGCAGATATGGGTCTTAGACTAAGGTTTGATGTAGGGTAATAGGTGGTTCGTGTTAGCTGTTGATATTGATGAGACTGTGAGACTGCTGATGTCATCTTCAGGTGAGTCTCCTCACTATTTGTATGGGTAGAAGGCACCAATGCCAACCCATCTTGGTTTATGTATTGTAGGAAGACCCGGGGGTTAGCCTAGGCATTATGTACGAAAGACCACGAGGTGTCTTCTGGTATACTATATGCTAATTAGCTAAGTAGAGTAGTATGTATGCTAGTTGTCTTTGTGATGCTTGCATGGAAGACCAGGAGGTGGATCTTGGCACTTGTCTATAAGACTAAGGGGGTGGCCCCGAGATAGCAAGAAACACCATGAGGCGGCTCGTGGCATAATGGCATGACTATGTGTGGCACATAGCACCTTTATTGATTATGATATATGTATGGCGCGCGATTATGTATAGCATGTATTGATTAGTTGATATTTATGGTATGTGGTATTTGGAGAAACTCACTAAGCTTTGTGATTACGATTTTCAGTTTTGGTTTCAGGTACCTCCAGTTTTCAAATAAAGGAGTTCAGGACGATCACAACGCTTACACTTATGTTTTCCGCAGTATGTGATTTTTGTGAATGAAATCTGATAAATGTTTTATTTAAAATTCTTTTCAATGTGTGAAAAAAGTTACAATAGTGTTTTAGTTAAATTAAAAACGAAAATTTTACCTTAAAATTTTGGGATGTTAATATATATGTTTATCGTATTTTGTTGACACAATTATGCATATTTAATAGTGGTAACTATGGTGTAGTAATAACCATATTGATAATGTTCAACATTTGTTGGAAAATATAGGAGTTTTTTTTTTTTTTTGCAAGTTTATCTAAGGTTGGACAATAAACTAAAGGGATTTGTAAGTTTTTGGGAGACGTTCCATGACGAGCCAATAACTCCTATATATGTACATGATAATGTAGATAATGGTGAGTCTAGACATATTTTTCAAACACACAACACCATTCAACAATGACTATCAAGATGAATTATCTTTAATGACTACATTGCTGATCCGCAAACAAAATGTTTGGAATGAGACGTTGTTACGAGGAATGGGACTAACACCCATAAATTAATAAGTTATTGCGAAGGAAAACCCAACCTAATGGACTGGAGATCCCAAGATCTAGGTTCAATGGGGACAACCTACCTGCATATAACATTTGTGAATCATTGTGGGGGCTATCCCCAACCCATTCCTAAAACAAGCAGTGATGTAGGTTAAGTAAATTACACGAATGGTCTCTATGGTTTAGAGTAATTTCCGTGTTTGGTCCCTAACTTATTTTTTTTAACTCGGAAGGTCCCTACTATTTGTTTTTGTTACGCACTTGGTCCCTGTCTTACCTAAAAAGACTATTTCCCCCTTGATTTTTTAATTTATTTAAACAAACACACCCCCAACCCCACCCCTCACCTTACCTTACCTACCCCACCATTTTTTCCGATATAAATAATAGTATTTTTAGGTAAGATAGGCACCAAACGCATAAAAAAACAAACAGTAGGGACTAAGCACATATCAAAAGCAAATAGTATGGACCTTCCGAGTTAAAAAAATAAGTTAGGGACCAAGTGCGCAAATTACCCTAAACCGTAGGTACCATTCATGTAATTTACTCTAATGATTATTATATTGTTACCTATGTGACAGATAAGGGGGGTCACTTCAAAGGGAATTGTATGGCCACATTCCTAAGAGCTCTTACAGAACTAAGCAAGTGTCTATGACCACAATAGACACATGAATGAGAAACTAACTATGTCAGGGAGAATCATGTGAGACACATATTGATTATTTATAGAAACGGAAGAACAGTTCAAGTACATCGAGTCTACTATTCTGCTAATAAAATAAATATGTATATTAAGGGAAGGTTCAAAGGGTAATAGGTAACTATCATATGCATGATTCAACTGTTGGATTTTATCTAGGTAGCTTGAAAATGCTTGATCAATTTTCATTCATGTGGGGGATTGTTGGAAAATTGGTGTTACCTAATTTATAACAATGGGTTTTCCTATTTTTTTGACATGGCCAAAATTGATTTAATATGAATGAGAAATTAATCCTTAAAGTAAGGGTGTTCGACGACATAAATAAAAGAGTTTAATGGGTAGAAGAAAGAAAAGAAAAGTGCAGGGAACTTTCTTGCAAATATTTCTTTCTTTCGTAATTAAAATTGTAATTAATATTCAATTTAATTACATATTAACACACATTAATGCTTATGATTAATAGATGTGTTTAAATACGAGGTTATAGAATGTGTAGTGTAAATACCACTACTCTACAACCATTTGAAGAAACCAAAAGAATATAATAAAACTCTTTTCTTCCCCCTTCATTTTTTTTCCTAGCTATATTGAGAATATAATCCAGGCCCATTGAGGGTTCGGGTGGTCTAGAAGAAAAAACTCCAAACTGTTGTATTGTAGAAAACAAGCACTCAATAGCAGGAGAATTTGTTTTAAGGACAATGTGTTAAAGACATACCTCTGTTTTTTTTATTTTCTTGTTTGTTCTCGTATGTTACCTGAATATTATTCCTACATTTGTTAGTTACACGAACTAAAACACTTGCTAAATTTAGTCAACTTTTTCTATTGTTTCTCTCTCTAAAATAGTAGGTAGTGGAGAAAGTGGGTGAAGCTTGCTTTCAAGTTTTACTGTTACACATACTATGCTCTAAATGTTCATACCTTCGGCATTTTTCATAGGTATGGGTCTTGGATGTGATGTGTAGGTATAAAATAGAGCATAAGGATTTTTTTTTTCTCCATCATTAAGAGCATCTCATCTCACCCTCTTCTTCTGGTATTTTTAAGCTAGTTGAAGAGTTGGTGCTTATAATTGTTTATCCTTTAGTGCTTAATTGTATTACACATAATGGTGGATACATTATATATATATATATATATATATATATATATATATATATATTATTCTTTAGTTGTTGTCTTCATTAACTCTATTCTTGAGTTTTTATTATCTTCATCTACTCCTCAATTCGAAGCTGGATAAAAGGATCCAAATCATGTCTTCTTAACATCCTTGTTTTATAATCTTTCTATTTAATGTAATTTGATCATCTTAGTGGTTTTGTTAACATGGTCATAATCTAAACTAGTTATTTTAAATTATTATGTTGGCGTTTATAAATTGTTTTTTAAAAGAAATATCGTTGTTAGCTTCCCACGACTCATTAGATATATCAGAGTCTCTTTTACATGTTAGAAATATTTATTTAAGTGTTTTATAACCTTTGGTTTTGGAAAAATATTCTTGGTATTTCTTTTGGCAAAGAAATCACCAAATGTATTTTCTATTACAACTTGTTGTTTTTTTATATGTTATTATTAAACAACTAATTCTTAATGCATTTTGTTGTATAAAGTTGCTTTAGAAAAACAAAATGTTTGTTTGATATTTTATATGATGTTGTTGTGTATAAACAAGTCATTATGACAATTGTGTTGTTGTTGGTTTATATTTATTTATTCACGAGGTTTAATAGATAAATATGTATTTTTTTCGCCTGTTTATTTTGTATGTAATATATTAGTTAGATTAATTGTATTTTTTTTACTAAATGTAACAAGATGAAGAAATAACTACATTTGAAGATGACTTAACCACTTGTGACTATAATCCCAACCTTGAACTTCTACTCCTAGTTTAGGCTTAATAATAGTCTTAGTGCTTTTAAGTGTTACAATCTCTTCAACACATGGGGGCTTGAAGTTCTTCTTTCAAGCATGAATGGTCTTGGCAAGTGGGAGATTGAATACCTTTTTCAAGTGCCCCTTAAGTCTTTATGAATAACTTAATAATTCTTCTCTTGGCTCACAAAAATTATTACTAGAAAGTGGTTTGGTTTATACACATTTGATGCATGCTTTTGATGCTTATTTTTATGTCGTTATATGTGGTATTTTATATATCAAAATGGTTTTTACATGTTAAATAACATTTTATCATAAATTAGCATCACTTGGAGTTTAAGAAATAAATATTTAAAATATAACATTACATGTTTATAAATGAGTTTTTATTAAAACCTTAAAAATGAGTTTTATTAAAAATAGTTTTTTATGTAAAACTTTTAATAGCTAACTTTAAAATATTTAAAAAGGTTTAAAATATGTTTAAACTAAATCTAAACTCCATGTATTTTGTAATAAATAAGAGTTTTGTTAAAAAGACTAAAAATTGGTTTATAGCATTATAAGGACAAACTATAATAATATGTATTATTTTTACATCAATACTTTACATACGTTATTAGAATTTTAAAATTAACGCAACGTGTTGATATTATGTCTTACACATATTAAATAAGATTAAAAACATTATTATCATCTCCTTAATTTTGCTTTGTCAAAATATGTTTTTTAATCATAAGATGTATAATAAGAGTTTATAAATAATTATTTTTGTTGTACAAATTCATAAGCTCATAAGATTTTGATTATTAAAAATAGATTTAAAATTGTGATTTTGAAACACATCCAAAACTCCAAGTATTAACTAAAAAATAAAATTT